CCCCCCTTTCCTCCCCCCAGTGGACATGACTCTTTTTTGATATTTCTCTCTTCCTCTCACAAAGACTCCATGTCTCGAAGAGAGTAATTTCCCCCAACTTTTCCCCGCACGACCCCAACTGCACGTGAATGCTTCTGCAAAAGCAACACCCCCATTTTTTTTCCTTTCCTGCACCAAAGTCGACCCTAGTGTACTTTTATTTGGCTTTTGTCAGCTGTAGCTTATTTATTTTGTGGGCATTGCAGTTCATGCTTGAGTAAACTTTTTTTTTTTTTTTCGGCCAGTCGGAGATTGGCGAATCAGCGAGTGGGTTTTGAGAGACAGCGCTCGGAACGGCACGACCCCTCCTTCTCCTGCTGGCCGGCCTCCCGCTCTTCCCCCTCCCTCCTCCGACTCCAGGAGTGAAAGCGCCTAGTCTTGATTTCCGTTCCGCCCTTTCGACGGGCGTATGGCGCCTGAGGGAAGCGGGCGCAGTAAAATCCCGCCCGCTGTGGCTTCAGACCGGAGAGTGAAAGCGAATTTAAAAAATGCAGAACTCAAAAGAAAGCACGGGAGCGACAGAAAGACGGCCTCGAATGTGCTGATAGGGGAACCGGACTGGACGAAACTAAAAACCGCCTGACTGACGAAAAACTCACGGGGAATGAAGGGGGGGGAAGAGGGGGGAAATGATTGACTTACGCATGCGTCATGCCCGTCTCCCGCCTCCTTGGTCTAAAGTCATAGAGTTGGCAGTCCTCCTCTGGTCAGAGAGGACTAATCTAAGCATTGGCTTAAGGAAGAGCATAGAATTTCCGGGCAAAGAGGTCACGTCTCTCTCTCCCCTCACCCTTAGCACGTTGGGTGCTCGCGCTTCAGGACAGGCGAATTTGGGGTCGTCATGACGGCTTGAGTTAGTTCCAGCCAGGCCTGCGCAAGTTAGTTCATGTTAATTAAGAATTTTTGACGGGAATGCTGCTTGTCTGGGCAAAGGGAGGCTGTTTGACTAACACGTCTCCAACTCGGCGCCCTCCATAATCCTCAGCCAGCCCTCGGGCCGGCAATAGGCTGTCTCGCCCTGCGGAGCCTCTTGTCCCGTCCAACTCTCGACCAGTGTGGTTGATTTTCGGCTCAGGGTCTGCTGCAAACCCAAGAAAGAAACCGAGCCAGGATTTAAAACCAAAGCCCAGAAAACTGGCTTTTTAAACCAGGGCTTCTTAGGAAATCAGAGTCCTGGTTTGCTTTGTGCCCCACCCACTTATTCTGGGTGGTGGCACAGAAAACAAACCAGGAACTGCCATTACGGGTTACTAATATTTTGTTCATCTGGAAGGCTTGCTCAAGCTTCTCCTTGACTTCAGCAAATCATGGTTAACGAATCTTGGCTTATTGCTACATGAGAAGATAGCCAATGTCTGGATATGCATATGGTATTATTGAATAAGCCACACGTGGCTGGGTTCACGCAGCTTGCTCAGTCATGGCCTAGAATGTGGTTTGTTGATTTAACAAGATGTCTAAGGGCTGTCTTTGATTCACTAGGTTAGATACCAAGTTGTTTTGTGTTAAAACTTTGACATTGCTTCTCAACCATCAGTAGGACCCCTGTGGTCTCTTAACAAGATGCCCAGGAATGGTAGGTTTCCTCAGTGGTCTGACATTATGATGGGTTCACAACTCTTCATGTTAGATTCCACTCTCCCCTGAGATCAGAGCTCCCTTTCTGACCAGAGAGTGGTAATCTGGGGAAATCCATCACTCCTTGGCCACCTTCTTAGGGTCCATGGGATTGAGCCAAAATAATCTGTTGCTGGGTAAGAAGCTGCGTGCAATTGGGGGACTGGATTGTTCTGCCTGTGAAGGAACTTACATGCCAAATATTTGCCTTCATCATTAATTCTGATTAAAACATTAATATTTTGACTGGGGAAACTCTCTAAAGCTATGAAATAGATGCAAATGCAAAAAACAAAGTACTACTGAATAATCATTCCATGGATATCTGCAAGTGTTTCTCTTTAGTTATGTGCATTCTCCCTCAGTTTCAACATGTCTGTCTGGTTTTAATTTTGGCCTGGGGACTGTTATTGTTTTAGGCTTGATAAATGTTTCATTTACTGTTCATCTAAAGGCTGTCATATCTAAAAGAACAACACCTAGTTACTCATTAATGGGGGTAGGTAATCTCATGCATCTCTGTTGTTTTGAGTACAGCTCCCATAATCCCTGCTGGCTGAAAGTGATAAGTTATATTCAGAGTGGTTCTTTTACCTATTGTTGCATTAAAAGATGGCATGAAAAGGTGATGATTGCTCACTCGTGAATTAATCGTAATTGCCTTGCTATTTTCAACAGCAGCCTGCAGAATGTTGGTGGCCACTCTCTGGGAAGATATCATAATAATAGCCTTGACCTGTTGCTGATACTTAGAAGTAAACTAGTTCTGTACAGCAAGATCCTATTTGGCTTCTATCTGTGGTGGTCTTATACTGGCCATCTGCACCTTTTGCAATAATATGTGAAATACTTTTGACAGTCCTGACTTTATTGTCCATAACTTTTACTGAAAGGCTTCCCTAGTTTTAATACGGAGAAAAGACATTTCTGTGCAGTTTCGGTTCTAACGACACCCACATCCCTCCACCACCATGTCTTGATAGGTCTTAAGGACCACCATGTCATGTTGGTCTAGGTAAAGCATAGCAATGGGGCTGAGCTCTGTTGGGACACAGCATGCCTTGGGCACTTTGGAGTTCACTGAATTCAGTATGGTCTGCACTACAGCATGGCTGGAAGAGTTCATGTGGTCAGCCAGTGGAAACCGGCAGTCCCCAGAGCAGTAGAAAGCGTGGTAGCCGCTAGGAGCAATGATCCAGTCGTTCCACCCAACCGCCTTGAAATCCACAAACAGACGGTGCCTTCTGCATCTTGTGCTGATTTTATTCTTTGGCTTCAGGCTCTTGTGTTTCCTCATGGATGCTGGGATTTTAGTAGTTCCTTTGCCTCTAATAGGCTGGCTTCTGCTTTGCCTTTTTCTGTGGGTCAGAGGTTGCCCTCTTTGGTCATGACTATAGGTGACCAGTAAAGGCCTTTCGAGAGCCCACTGAGTCTCCTCTTCTCCAGGAGAGCGTCTTGCACGAAGGGAAACCTGATGCTGCTGAAGATTGTGGCTGCTGTTTGAAGGCTGCACCTCAACCAGAAAGCCAAGGTTATGCTTCTGTTCTCCAGCCTTCTTGAAAGCAGCTGTAACATCAAAACTCACCCATTTGGGCTGACTGAGAGTCACAAATTTACATGTGAGGAGTCTGCTCTTGTTTGTGGCAGCAGGCGGGGGATCCATTGCATGGTAAACGTTGATGTATAAGCCCTGGCTTTCTTTACGGGAGTGATAGAGACGCAACTCAAGGGCAGTCAGCTCCTCCTCCAAAGGCAGCAAGGTGAGGTTGAACAGGAAATAGAATGAACTTCCTGCACCTTCAGAGATATGGACCAAATCCTCTAAATGTGAAAAAATGAGCAGAAGTAAGGAAAGAAATCAGGATAGACAATTTGAATACAATAACTGCCTTGCTGGAGTTAACTGGAGCTCTTTTGCCCTGTTTCTTGGTTACAGTCAACCAGATGTTTCTTGGAAGCTCAAGTGTGGCTTGGGGCACACAGCATTCTCTTCCTTGTCATTTCTATCTGGAACACAGCACGTATAGCCTTTAAAATAAGTTTAGTTTTCAGTTCCATAGGAGGAACGTTGACTCAGATAGCTAGGATTGGATCCAAAGTAGATTATATTTAAGGCTTAATGCTTTGCTATTATAAGAAGAGAGGAAAATTATGGAGCAAGCTCAAAATCCATTATTTACTAACCTTTTATGGCTAGTGTGTTGTACTGGCAATTTCCTTGTGTAGTTTTAAAACAACAGCTATATGGCATTTCTTTCTGAGGAATATTTTAGCTGCTAGAATCTGTCAACCAACCTTTTGGGAGACCATTGCCCTACTTGCTCCATAGATGGCACTAAAACCCAAGATAATGTCTTTTAGTCCAGTTCTCACCTCAGCAGTTAAATACAAGGCCCCATTTTCAAGAACAACAACAAAAAATCTACAGTGGCTTCCATAGGACAGTTGGGGAAGCATTTAGCCATTTTGCTGATTGACCTCTCTAAATTTAGATCCTGGTGTCTGCCATGGAACATAAGGGATATAGGAGGTCAGGCTGAGGGTTTGCCTAGCATGGCATTTTACTGGCTACAGATTCTCAGTTTATTGCAGCCAGTAAAGCCAGTTTATTGCAGCCAGTAAAGCCATATTTTATGGGCTGCAGCTTCTCAGGAAGCAAGAAGAGGTCTTATCCTGTCCCCTAACCCTTTGGACTGGAGATGCTGGTGATTCATTCCTGGGATCTTTAGCATGCGAAGTTGGACTCCATCCCGCTTAAGCAGCCCAGTCAGCTTATGATGTCTATGGCTTTCTGCCCCTCCTTCTGGCCCTCAGCTCTTTTTAACAGACCTTTCTGCTGTGTTGGTGCCTGCTACCACCCTGACCTTTGGGCCACAGTTTCCAAAGAGATCCATCCCCCCTCCCCTCCCTCCACCCTGTTGAGCAAGAGAACTTGCAGCCTCACCAACATGATGGAATGTGCGCACAGTGTTGGCTGCTGCTGCTCGCGCCTCAAGGAAGGGTCGTTCAGCGTCCTTTGGGGAGAATGGAGCCCGTCTCAAGCAGAACTGGTATAAATCCAGCAGGTAGTGAGGAACCAGCAGTTTTGGCTTTGGGTCTGGGCGCCTTTGCAAGCCCAGCCGCCTTAATAGAATGGTTTGGAAGGCTTGGATTGGAAGCTGCTCCAGGTCACGTTTGCCACTTTGCTCAGCAGCGCCTGGCGATGCCATCTGAAGGCTTTCAGATCCCCAAAAGGCAAGAGGTACAAGTAAAATCACCCAAACAGGCAAGTTACCAGAAACCATTGTGGAACTGGAGAAGTTGAGGCAGGTGAGAGGAGAGAGAGAGAGAGAGAGGAAATTATTGATAAATATAGCACATTACAGCAGTACTATTAATTCTCTTTTTTGCTTTCCTCCCTTCATTCTGTCCCAAATGCAGAGCATTAATTTCGCCTAGCATAAATAATCACACTGCAGTTAGAGAACCTGTTGAGACCTCAGGTTGCTTTTTCATTAATCCACAGCCTAATAACTCCCATTGCCCTCCTCCTGCACATTGGGATGTTGCATGTTGATCAATTCAGACTGCATTTTACAAATCTGTTCCAGTTCTCCTTTCTCTTTTTGTTTCCAAGTCTCTACAAGAGGATGTTACTTTAAACTCCTAGACAGAAGTGTTCCTCTGAGCATAGTGTATTGTGTTGTTAAGAGGGTGTGATTCGTTTTTAAGTTGTGATGCAATTATATAGAAGGAAACAATGGATCTATAGAAATCTCTCTGTTAATGTTTCTCTGTCTCGATCCTCGTTTATCTTTCTTGATTTTATAGCTTGATCTCGCCCTAACGGTTTGGGTGCAAATATTGTTTACTGCTTTATTCACTTTCCTAACAACTTTCTGCATGAGATGGTGCCGTTACATCATAAAGAGAGAAACTGAGGCATAGGGAAAGTACCAGATACCGTAGGCAAAGAGGGTATGATTTATGGCAAACCAGTGCTTGCTTTGATTTGTGCTGTGAGACTTCCATTTCTTGATTCGTCAGAATATGAAAAGTTGAGAGGTCAGTTCTGGCAGAGTCTCTGTAGGTAAGGCTGCCACTGCCGTGGGGTGGACTTGTATACTGTGAAGTGGGGTGGAGTTACAGTTGGTATGGAAAGCAAGTCATGGGTGGGGCTTCATGTGATACCCCTTGGTCTCAGACCTAACTTCTCTGCCATCTCTTTGCCAATCATCCCAGATCACTAACTCGTAAAAGAAGTAACAACAACAACAAAGGTACCTCTCACCTGTGCTACTCACAAACTCCCAAATACCAGCTAGCCAAAAAGGAAGCACTGTTTTTGTAGTCCTGGTGGCTAGATTTCTTTCTACCCACCCCACCCACCCCGAAGGAGCACTTACTTGAAAAAGTGGAGGTTCTCGGCAAGAATCCATTTTCCCTTCTGCAATTAAAGTGGCCTTCCTTTGCACTCTGGCTCTTCAAGCCTTTCCCAACTCTTCTGGGTCACCCATAACAGGAAACCGCCTTTGAGACCTCACGAGCATGGCATTTCTCCTTGGCATTCTCCGTCCACCTTCCTGCCTTGTTCAGCAAATGAGAGAGGCCAGGTCCCGGCTCTCTTTCAGATTGTCCGGGCTCTGCCCACCCTGCCTGTGGAGGTGCCGGTCTCCCTGCCTTCAGGATGTGATGTCAACCTGGCAAGTGGCCTGAGCCAGAACAAACAAGTTGTTGAACGTTGTCGCTTCTTCGTGCTCTGCAGCAGCACCACAGTGGTCCTTTGGACTCACTGCATCCTTTGGCCCTGCTGGAAAAGCCATGTTTGCCATGTGGCTATTGGGCCCAATATGGGAAAAGGGGCACTTATAACTCCATTGTGGTAGATACCAAAGTCTGTTTCCCAAATAGCATTTGGGTCAAGCACCAAAGGTGGCTGCCTCTTCCCACAGTCCCTCTTGGTCATCTTCACCCATCCAGGGGGCCTTGCTACACTGTGCCATGTTCAGATGCCTTCATGTGAATCTGTGCCGAGGCTCCTTCTGCCAGCCCTTGTACTTTAGCTGTCATGGCCTATATTGTGACAAAAAATTAGGATTCCGGTAGTGAGACATTTCTGAAAGCATTGCCTAGACGGTGGCTCTTTAGCATCTCTTGCACAGGGTGGGGTCAAAATAAGGACCGTTTTTATGCCTTTCCTAGGTTTGGGAAGGTTTGAAGGGCCCAAACAGGCACCTTAAGCCTCACAGGTTTGCACACCACCTCTAAATGGATCCTGGCCTTGACACTTTTGAGTATGGCCTTTATCAGACAAACCTGGCAGCCCTTTCCTAGACCTGCGTCCCTGGATGAGTCTTGCCGGCAGCCTTGCTACGTGTCTCCAAGTCAACGCTGCCTTTTATGTTGAAATCCGTGGCTGTTTCTTTTACGTTTGTCCTCACCACAGAGTCCCTTCGTAGGTCACATTCCAACAGAAGCCCACATCGTAGCAAAGGCGAGCCTTGCCAGAAAAATAACCCTCCCCTACACACACCTGGCATCGTGCCCAGGAGTGCAGCAGGTCTGAGCGGAGTTCTTATCAGGCCAGCTGGAAAGGGCTTCCAGGGGCCAGCACTTCCCTTGCTGCCAGACAACACACACCGAGAATGAGCTGTCTGTGGAAAGACGGCATAAACAGGGCTGAGGAGGAAACCCAGCGGCCTTCAGCCAGGGCAGGGGTTTGGAACAAACACACCACGCAGGCATGTAGTCTGACCAGGGACTTGGGGGAGGTTAGCTTTGGGGGGGGTTGTCTCCCCTGAGACGTAAGCCTAGAGCACTTCGTCCCAGAAGCCTGGCTGCGTCTTGAAGCAAAAGCTGGAAAATATTTTGCATAGCACGGGCATACGTGATTCTCCCAATGCCTGTGCTAGAGTTCAGCCAGCCCTGCTGCATTGAGCTACACATCCAGAGGGCCATCAAGGTGGGGGAGGTCACTATAGCTCCACTACCGCTATGTGCCAGAAGAGCGCAACTCCTTTGCTAATTTTCTGCAGGTGAAAATCAAGCATTCTTGTCCCTTCGCCAACACTCCCCAGGGCCTTTGTGGCTCTTCAAACTACTATGGACCTCCCCATAATACGTGACAGAAACAAGAACAAGCTGCTCAAACTTGCTGCTGTGGCCTTGATTGTGAAGTTAAGTACAGAGGCGGAAGCCATTCTTTCAGGAGTGGTTCCTAGATGTCTGAGACCTTAAGCCAGCTTCCCCCAGTCTGATGCGTTGGGACTGCCACTCCGAATGAGGCAGCCTTGGCATTGCAGTCCTGGTTTATTTTGAAAGCACCTTGCCTAGGCATCTTTTCTTTTCCCCAAATTATTTTCACAATCAGTTCTTTGGCCTAACCAAAGGAGTCATTTTTCACTGATTTTCAGAGCCGAATCTCTACAGATGTTTTGGCAGCAGGCCAGCCCATTTGGAACGAGGCAGTTCCCAAACTGGCTGGAGCAGAGTGCACCGGGCTGTTTTGTATGTACGCAACTGTCATGGTTGAAAAGAGGTGAGGTTGGTGTGGTGAATTGTGCTAACGTATATCAAGCACTCTGCTGCTAAGGTGGAGACTTGGCCCTGGCAGGCCCCTTTTGTGAGCTGACTTGTCTTTGTCTCAGTGGCTTCTGCTGTGGTGGTTCACTTCTTGCAAAGGTCTCCAGGAAGGACTTGGGATTCTTCATTTAGGTCCTTTCCAATTGTGTCAGGACTGCAGTTTTCAGAATTTCTAGCCAGCATAGCCTACTAAGGACTTGCAATCCCAAATTATGTGGAGGGTGGGGAAGGTTGGGGAAGACTGCTCTGGCCAAACATCGAAGACCGGGCTGAGGAAGGCTTATGTAAAAGATCAAAGCTACGTGTTGCATCGTTGTTTCTCACACTAGTTTGCCCCCTTGCTTTCCTTTGGGGGCTGGAATTGTCCTTGGCTGCTGCTGGATTTCTCCCGTTTACTGTGGAAAACATCCTCTTTGCCAATGACCTGGGCTTGGCTGCCTGCCGGAGGGGATGTTGGCACAGCAAGGGAGCGTCAACTTGGTGCCGCCACCGTCCAAAGAGGGAAAATAGGCTGTCCTTGTGCAGCAGTACTTCCTGTTTACAAGCCTATAAGCCTAGGTTAACTCTGTGTGTCCAGAGGATTGTGGAGGATAAGCTGTAGCGGCCTAGATTCCTTAATCAAAGAACAAGGATTTAGCAGAAATGCATAGTTTTGACAAGTGGCCCAAATCTATACACTTAAAGTATGTTGATGATCTAGGTTTTTACAGTCTATCCACTTCGTGAATAGCTTTTTACAGAACTTGTACTCTGCAAATTAAAAGATTATGACACTAACATTCAGTGACTCCTAAAATATAGCTGTCTTTTAAAAAAGCAGCAAATTCAGAGTTCTTCTTCTTATGGAACATGGTACAAATGAAATATCTAATCAGCCTTCTCTAATCTAGTCTTTGGATACAGTGGTAACTTTACATCTGATAGAGCCACTGAGGGTGGTTTTATTTCAATCAACCAAAAATGAGAGTAGGCCTGGTGTAGGTTCACACATCACACTAAGCCATAATACAGGTCCTTTGATTTTGGCTTAGTGTGTTGTATGAATTCAGTTAACCCATGATTACAGTAAACACATTACATCTAACAGGTATAAACCCAGTCTTGGCATATTCAACAGAACTATCCAATCCCTTCTGAAAGCAGGAAGTAATTTTAAGAGGGGCAGAAGAAGGTGCCCCTTTCTGACTAGTTCCTAGAGGTGATGAATTAAGGCAAAGATACAATATTGAGACTTCTGTTTTTTTTAAGCAGCGATCTACAATGAAGGTGCCTGTTGCTATTCTGCGCCTACCCCGTGGACCTGATGGGTCAAGCCGTGGTTTTGATCCCCACTCTCCTCGCTTCCAGGCTCTGGGGCCCAGCAGCCTGCCTTCCGGAGCATGTAAGGACACAGCCAACCTGGAGCAGGAGCAGCAAGCACGAGTCGCTCTGCGGGAACGCTACTTGCGCAGCCTCCTTGCCATGGTTGGCCAGCCAGTTAATTTCATCATGTACGAGAAGGTTAACGTCACTGCCTTGTTTGGAGCATCAGACATTGACATCCTGAACTTCCAGGTTTCTGAGCTTCAGACACCTTTGGGGATTCAGAGAGAAGCCCTCCTCCGCTGTTCAGACATTATTGCATATTCCTTTGAACTCTGAAGGGTCACTCCCTTTAATAAGAGAGCCTCTGATTAGGACAGAGACTTGCATCCTGTCCTTTTTTGTTGTTTTTTTAGCTGCAGCTCTCAAATAAATGAATAGCAACAATCCACAGTGGACACAGCAACTAGAACTTCTCTGTGAGATCAGAGCAGCTACCCCAGAAATGGGGGCTTGCTAGATCTCAGTGATTTGTCTACTTCCAATTATTGGGGGGGGGGAGAGAATGTGAAGTGCAGAAGAGGCTTCTAAGTACTGTGTCCCCCCTCAACTCCCCCTTTTTTTCTTCTAATCCGTAATACAATAGCAGGAGTTGTGACTTAATATGCTATGAAACCAGGCAAGGAAAGTACCCATCTCCAGTGCTGTTTAAACACATGAAACAACAGAGGGAGGCAAGTCACAGATGTGGGCAGCAGCACAGAGCTAACATCTCGAATTTGTTTGGCTTTTTCAAAGTTTATTTTTCTGACAAAAACAAAAACAACAATGTACAGCATTATTACACAGCAGGATTACATGGGGCCTGGTGAGCCAGCAGGGCGAGAGGTCACCAGCATGGCATTGTGCCAGGAATTAGTCCTAGTGGCGGTAGTGAGGGCTCCGGGATCGTGACCGCGAGTGCCTGTGAGAAAGAGAAGAAGCTACTTTAGTACAAAGAGATGGGTAGGGAAGCTTACTTATAGGCTGACAACTCCCATCATCTATCAATGGAAGTGGAGAACTCGGCAGGAACAACATTTGCAGCAGCACGTTCCTTTTCACCACTCAGCCACAAAATGCCCACCAACGGCTTTGACGAAAGTGTATCTCTGGCTCTAAGTGGGCCTTTCCCCAACCTGCCGCCTTCCAAATAGAGCAAATGTGAGTAAAACTGGCCTATTATTTTACAGGCTCCCCCCATTCACACCAGTGAGTTTCCTGAATGCACCAAGTTGGCCTCTGTGTGACTGAATGCTGGACCAAATGGGCCTTTGGCGGTTTTATTTGCATGTTTTTCCTACATAAACCATCAAGAGTCTTTTGGATTGTGGGGGCATAGAAATACATTTAAAAATAAACCTGATTCAGCAGAGCTCTTGCATTCAAAACAAAGCCAAGTATTCAAGTACTTAGCATCAATTACTCCTCCTCCAATGGCTGGTACACGTTCATTTCCAAAGTTGTTAGTTTCAACATGGCACCAACACTCCTCCATTCTGCTCCACGTTAGCCCCTTCAGCACCCCCTAAGTGGATAAAAAGCAGGCCTTACCTTCTTGAGGAGCTGTATTCTCGACCTGCAGAACAAATACAAATGAATAATAAAACCTCTACATTTACACCTCCAGAATCTTGCAACTTGCTTAGCAAACATGTAGGAAAAGATGCAGAGTCAGATCAGTGGGACTGATATGTGACACACACCAAACTCCTCCCTGTGTTACAAAAGCCTTGCCAAGCAGTAAATCACACCATTCCTTTTTTTTTTTTAAATGGATTTAATTCTGGGACCAAAAATCAGAGCAGTGATGCTTGCATCCATCCACCAGTCAACAATACCAAGCCGTGCCCCACTTCCCCAACTCTGGAAACTGACACAAAGGAATGCACTTTCCAAAGCAAGTGTTCTGTGCTTGGAACACATTATTTATTTTAAAAGATTTATATAGCTGACCGTATTGCAATAACAACCCTTTACAAAACAGTAAAACCAACAAAGAACCCCAAGCCAAAAAAACAAAACATAAAAACTCATGGCACCCTGAGGCAGCACTCTTATGCATTTGTACACCATTATACTACGCTCTGGCTTCATCCTGCCCCGATGCTCGTGGAGTGTACCACTTGAATTTGGCACAGTCTCTTTCAAATTTAAAACATTTCTTATCCCTCTAAAGCAGTGTTTCTCAACCTTGGCAGCTTTAAGATGTGTGGACTTCAACTCCTGGAATTCCCCAGCCAGCCCTGCTGGCTGGGGAATTCCGGGAGTTGAAGTCCACACACCTTAAAGATGCCAAGGTTGAGAAACACTGGTCTAAAGCTAACACTTACTGTAACGCGGAGAAGGAGAGCGACTATGGCGACTGTACTGTCGCTCCCACTCTTCCCGCTCCTTCTCCCGCCGTTCACGCTCCCTGCCGAGAAAAGCATGGAGATTAATGAGGACAAGGCACCTGGCGCCATCCCACCCCACCACAGGGATGAGAAAACCCAAGAGAGATTACTTCATCCGGATCTTCCGAGCCATGGCACGCAACTCATCTTCTCGTTCCTGGAAGAAAAGATGAGGGTCTAGTCAGCCCAAGGATGAAAGCTACCTGGGACAGCAAGGGAATGATCTCAAAGGCGTACCTACACCCAGAAGCTGAGTTTCTGCTGTAAGAGTACATTATGCTAAGATTTTGAAGGTTGGAATTCCAAATTAGAGGCCACCTGGTGATACTATCCTTATAGTCGAGCAATGAATAGCATTCAGTGGTGAGGTATCAGCCAACAGCACAAAACCATTCCCAACGGCTTGAAGCTTGCAATCGCAGCCCTCACATTTCTTTATGATCAGAGCAATGGGTACAGGGAGTACCCAACTTAAGAACGAGTTCCGTTCCCAAGGCCTGTCTTTAAGTCAAATTTGTCGTCTGCAAACCAGGCGTTCTTAACCCAGGGCCTACCTGTATTCCTTAAGTTCTTCTGCACCCAGAACTGTTCTACAAAGGGGGTCGCTTGAATGCTGACCAAATCTGTGTGCACGCAGGAGAGAGGGTGACTCTGTCCTCTCTCTAATTTGCTGAAGTTAAATTTTAAAAAACACTCTAGCTTCTAAGATGTCTACCACTGCACACATCGCTTTAATCTACTTTAAAAACCCAGAAAATGAAAACTCTTATCCTCTACATTCTGGCCTTCCCCTGCCCCCCTCCCCGCAACTGTGGTTTTGATACCATATACTCAATGCCACTGGTTTACTGTATTTACATTTCTCTTTTTTGACGAGGACAGTCTAACCCAGGGTTTCTCGACCTCAGCAACTTTAAGATATGTGGACTTCAACTCCCAGAATTCCCATGCTGGCTGGGGAATTCTGGGAGTTGAAGTCCACCCATCTTAAAGTTGCCGAGGTCAAGAAACCCTGGCCCAAACTCGGCAGGACAGCTGCTTCACACAACCTACGCAACCCAAACCGGACGCAAGAGGCCCTTTGTTGTGGTGCCACTTGACCCCTCTTCATAGCTGCCAATCGTGCTGCACTACAATGCGCCCGTGCTAGTTTTGCCTACTGCCCTTGTGGAATCAGTTGGCTCCCTGCTTACTTGTCTTTCGTGCTCCTGCTGCATCATCTTCTCCTGGGCTGCTTTTTTATCTGCTTTAACTGAAGAGGCAGAGCAGAAAAGTGAGAGGAGGAGGGCGGCCGAGAAAAAAGGGGGGGGAGGCTTCGCTAGGTCAGACCCGTCGCAGCCACTGCCCTGTGCCACCCCCGAGATGCTTACACTGCCGGTTAAGCGCCTTCTGCATGCGCAGTTTCAGTTTCTCCTGCGGGGTCAGCTTTGGCTATAAGTAGAAGTAAACAGAAAGGTATTAAGAGTTTGCCACTCGCCCTGAACTCGTCATCCGTCGGGGGAAGGAATACGTGGAGAAAGAAAGGGGTCTCCAGAAAGTCAGTCCTATAAATGAAGTATTATTGAGATTGAGTAAAAAATGTGAACAACGAGACAGCCATTCACTGAACATACAAGAATGAAAAGCATATTTTTAGTTCCCAGGGATCGCCATCAACACCCCTCTCCTCAAAAGGCTACTCTGCCCCAGCAGGAAGGGAGATCTGTCTTCCCAGCTCAAAGGATCCATGAGGAGCCAACTCAAGTGTATGTCACTAGCAGAAATCAGAGCCTTGGGTCAAAGGAACAAAAAAAAGGGCAGCTTATTTCAGGGATGCAAAAGGGAGCAACGGCATGGGAAAACAGGCTTCAGCCATCTGGAGCGAGCAACTCCAGGAATTCAAAATACAAAAAGTCACTAAACGACAGGACAAAGTCTACCTAGACTCCCAAACACAATAACTACATATACCCAACAATATTGACTCAGAGTTCATTTTCAAGCCGTAACTGTATTGCAAAAGATTAAAACATCATCATGGTCACAATAGGCTAATAGCAACCACCACAAAAGTGACTAGTTTAATAACATGGGGTTTTCTACTGTTTTAACATGCCAGATTTCATGGGTATGGATTGACCCTCATGAGGTGTGACATGAATCTCCCCAAATTTAAGAACAACTTGTATCAAAAGTCAATGAAATATATACGTTGTTGGAATCAGTCATCCCAGCCTTTTCCTAAAAACAACCCGAAAACAAACGATCTAATAAAAATAATCGTCAAAGGAGAAAACAAGGCAACCGAGTCATGGAACTTTTGACATTCATGTCAGACTCATTTTTATAAAGGCTGATTCCTTTCTGTATATTTGGAACAAGAATCAGAATAAATGGAATACCAATCACATTTTTGAAAAATTAGGCCACTTGGTTTCCTGATTTCAATGTATCTGCACTTCACCCAGAATCAGAGAGGCTTTCAGTCTTGTTTGTACAGGGCAGGATTCCAAAAATGCGATGCTTTAGTTTTCGGACTTGGACTGTTTTTCCAGTCCTGCCTGCAGCCCTCTGACTCGCATTACATTTCCGTCTTCCGCAGGGATCAAAGCAATATCCCCCCCGGCCAGGAGTTTGGCACAGAATCAAGCCCAACTTTTTAATCCATCTCCTGAAGCGGCCTCTAACCATTAGATGGACTGACCCTAGTATTACGGGAGTTGTGGCCCAACATACTTGGAATATTCTAGATTAGGAAACTCCGGAGAATATGATCTTTGTCACCTAGCTAGAGGAATGCAATGGGTGTCTATCATGGCAAACCCAAAGGGCGTTTTTTGACACTGATGTTACAACCCCCTCCATCTTTTATTGTAAGCCTTCTCAAACAAGAAGGACAAATACTAAAGGAACAGAGCATTGCAAAGTTTAGTCCAGCTTTCT